AGGTTTAATTGCTTCCTTTGTCCCCAGTTTGGTTGAATTGTGTCAAATTCATCCTCATTTTTAAAAAAGTTTCATTGTCATCCTCACGTGGTGTAAAAGTTTCATTGTCGTCCTCACGTGGTGTAAAAGTGTCAATTGAATCCAAACATAGAAAAAATTTGTGTCAAAGTAGTCATTTTTCCTATATATCTGTGTCTTCCTTTCATACAATCAAGTACAGATATTCATTTTACCTTATCCAATTTAAGGCTTTTCATAGCTCCAGAGAAGTGACATATGAAAGGAAGACACAGAGATATAGGAAAAATGACTACTTTGACACAAATTTTTTCTATGTTTGGATTCAATTGACACTTTTATACCACGTGAGGATGACAATGAAACTTTTTATATTTATTTATGGTTGCTTTTACTTCAAAAAGAAAATAATAATAATTAACATCTTTCAATTATACTTTTATTTATAATATAACATTAGAGGATGTCATTTTGTAATTAAGGATTTAGTTGGAAAATGTATTGATGGTTGCGAAAAAGAGTATAAATTTATAATTCAATTCATGAAATGAAATTTTGTTACGACCAATTTAGACCGATTTTAAATTAGAGATTATTTAGATACTAACTTTTTAATAACTAAAATTTTGACTAATATTAGAGACTAATTTTAACTCTAATTTATAAAATAATTATAATTTTTATTTATAATAAAAAAATTTCAAATATAAATGATTTTTAATTTATAAATTCATATATAAATCAATCATTATTACTTTCTACGTAAGCTTAATATATTGTCTTTTTATATTACAAAGGTCTTCTTTTTTTTATAGGCTTCTTGAATTTTGTTGGTTCATATTTAAAGAAAGAATTAATTTTAACGTTATTGATTTAATCTTATAATTTTTTAAGCTGGTGTATGTAGATATGTTTTCTTGTTCTAGTGTGGATATTTTGTTCTTACTTTTTAAGAATTTTGATAACTTCTTTACTATAAGATTCAAATTTTCACAATGAGAGTTATAATCTTATTTTCTTCAAATCTTGTTGCTTCAGTTGCAACTTCTTTCATTATATGACTTATGATTCTCTTCTTCCTTTAGTACCCTTTGTATTTGAACCTCGTTTCACTATGATTATTTTTTATTATCCGCAGCAGTTCTCGGAGAGGGTCTTATGCCTCGATTTTCAAACCGAGGCAGTAGAAGGGTTCTTTTTTTCTGCTGCAATAGAGGGGTTTAAATATAATCAAAGCAAATAAATATAATCAAAGAAAATAGTGTGGGAAGATGAATTATGAATTTTTAACCTTTAAGTTTTTCCTTGAATCTATACATCAGCCATACAAGGATTCCTAGGCAGATTAAAAGTAAAAAGTTTTCAAACGCCCTGTTATCACCACCATATGCATTAATAGGTACCAGAAACGCCCTGTTGACAGCATCTAGAAGAAAAGTATAAACGAAAATTTAAAATGTTTAATAATAGAAATGACCAAGGAAATCCTTTGTGATTATTTGCAGCAGTGGCAGTAGCATGGGACTAAGAAGAAAGTGCAGACCAGAAAGAGTGGGTGCTTCAGTAGCTCCAGCACCACGACCTGTCTTTGGTTTTTGATGGCCCTGCGTCCCATAACCCTGTTGCTTATAATGCTCCATATCCTTGTATTGCACGTAGGGACTGTCCTCTATCGGAATCCCTTCAAGCCTTTCTTTCCCTGATTCACTCTATCTTTTTCTCTCCTGCTCCATCTTTCTCTTACTTCCTTCTCCATTTTCAACCTTTCTTATATAGAATACTTCTATTTTCTACCTCCTCTGCCACTTGTCCACCTCTAACACACGTCCTCTTCCAAACAATTCTCTCACACACGCGGCAACTTTACCACAACCTTGTTGTTTCTATCCCAAAAATAATTCCATGGACTACAACCTCTTTTCTTCTCCACATGCTTCTCCACATCACGTGTATTTATTCATACCCTGTTAGACAAAAAAGGAAAATATCTTTATATTTTTATTTAAAAACAACTATAAAGGTTGATTATAGATATCATCATATACCAGAACTCCAAGCTGCTGAATTGTTCCCTCATATCAGACTCAGGAACTTGTATTTTGTTTAACTTGGAAGAATCATAGCACGATGTCACCACAACACCAATATTGCACTCAATCTTCACGCAGTCATCCTTGAGAAAACATGAAGCCTCAAGATCTTTCCGATTGCAGAACTGGTTATAACCCCTAACACACAAAACAAAACCTGCATCATTATTCATCAATGCAAAATGCACTCCTTCGAAAACAGATAACACAACTAACTCCAGATCCCATTCAGAAAATCACAACATTTGATTAACATGCTACTTTTTTGTCTCAGATTTTAACTTCTATCTCTCTAAAGTTTGATATATACATTTAGTTGCTACAAATAACATGCTTTTGAAAACAAACCACATTCGAATGAAAGAGAAAGAAGAGAGAAACAAACCACATGTTGCCACAGGTTTTGGAAACGCAGGGTCCACATTCGAATGAACGAGTAATAATAGCACACTACATTTATTTAATGTTCCTAAATCTCCAGGTTGAAAAGAAAAAGGTTGTACAAAGGCATGATACATTTATAAACAAATATAAATATATCAAGCAAATAATTCACAAATAAAAATATAGTAAACAAATTTATTTATCATATCATATCACACATGCTTCAGTTCATGAATGTATATTAATAATTGGTTAAAAGGGAATCAATGCCATCACATACAAAATTGAATGAACCATCATCCAAAAACCTTCACGGTAAAAAATCAATCAAAAAGCCAACAGAGTGTATCCAACGAAGAATCATAGACACCTGGATACCAAGCATATTTCCAATATCCCCCAAGGCTTCATGGGTATCTTGGTTTTCTTTGTAAATATGGAACCTAGAAATTTCACTGGTAGAAACATTTAGTTGACAAACAAATACAATGTAAAAACAGGAAAACGACAACTGCAAATAAGAAATGCAACGATGAGCGGCTATCACTTTCTGACAATGTGAGAGTGAGTTGTAACCTGCAGGATGTGAGATATGAGATTTTTTAACAAGCAGCAGCACTAAAATTGGGGATGGGGATTTGGATTAGAACCCTAGGAGCTGTTATCGAGAAGCTGCTTCACTCCCAACGACCACCGCTTTCTCTTCACACCAGAGGCGACGCACTCGCAGGCGAGGTGGAAGCCGCGCTCGCAGCCGTCGCACACGACGAGGTGGTGGTGGCTCTCGGCGGCGGCGGGGCAGGGCTTGGAGCAAGCAGTGCAAGAAGCGAGGCCACTGCTGGGGAGGACAACGGGGGCTCCCGGTGGTGGCCCGGGGTTCTCGTCATAATCGCGGACGATGTCGGTGGCGGAGTCCGGTAGGGTTTTAGCGAACAAGGAGGAAGGCGAAGGGATCTCGTTAAGGTCGATTCTGAGCCCTGAGCGAGCGTCGTGGTGGTGGTTGTTGTGTTGTGGCTGCAACCGTAGCGCGTTGAGGTTGCAGTCGCTGCCGGTGGAATCGGGAAGCTCCATGATCATCGGAAAGTCGGCACTGAGTCACACGGCAGCGAGTTAGGACTTTGAGTTTGAACCATTGTGCTTCCGATTTTGGAGTGAGATTGGAGCGTAGAGAAGAGAGAGTGAACTAGGTTGGAAGATGAGCGCGAGAAGAAGGGGAGATGGGAGAGGAAGACGCGGCGAGAGAGTAAAAAGAATAGTGGTGAAAATACAAAGAATACTGACTCGGTTATCTGCTTAACCGATGTTTAAATTGTTTGAAAAAATAAAAATTTAATACGAAGGAAGATATGTGAGATTTTGTAGGCTTTTATATTTCGGTTATGAAACAATCAAAGTAACAGATGTTTTTCTGTCCCGATTCTTCTTGAACTGAGACTTATAAAGTGGTTAAAATTACAAAAATACTATCGTATTTTTTTATGCTTTGATTTTTTAAAAACCGAAACGTATTATGTGCGTTTGAATTCTTGTTTTGTACTAGTGTTTATCAAATAAAGTTGTCATGTTCATGAAAGTAACATCTTTAAATTTGGAGATAGTCACCTTGAGTTAACAAGATTTATTTAGATAATTCATTATTTAAATGTTTAGTTTATCTTTATTAAACTTCTATCTCAAAATCAAAAAATTCACTATTAAAGGATTAAATTATTTATTCCATAATTCTATATTTGGTCTCTCAGGTTCTTCAAACCAAGTAACTCAAAGTGTTTTTGATAATGATAGTTAATGTTCTTTCTTGATAATGATAGTTAATGTTCTTTCTTTGATAAATAGGTTGTAAAAATAGGTTATAGATTCCATGTGAAACAAGTTCATAGTTGATTAAATGTTGATTTGTGTTATGTGCCAAAAAATGTATATACTTGGATTAACATCAATCCTTGACCTTACTCTCTTATCGTTTATTTCTTCAGCCTGCAGGATCAGAAGCAGGAAGAAGAAGAGAGTGATTATGGGGATAAGCAAGGGGAACAACAAGGATGGGAGAAAGGGGAAGAAGAGTGGCAGCGCTGGGGCCACCGCTATCAGTGGCGGCGTGTTGGGGAGGGAGGTATTGTTGCATCGATCACATTGGAAGAAGCTTGGGGAAGAAGAAAAAGTTGCGGTGCTTTTGATGTCGCTATCTTATGGATCTGTTTATGCCTAAACCAAATTTAATCATTTTATTGATATAGAAGATGCAGAAGAAGAATTACTAAGGAGATATAATCATCGGCTTCTCTTAGAAGCTTCAGGAACAATACCTTCCGAGAGAACGCGCTTTCTTCTACAGCGGCGTTGCCGTTCTTTGAATCTTCGTCATCCTCTTCTTCACCAATCTAGTGTGGGACTTCATGGTCTTCATGTGATGCCTCTGCTTCTACCGGCCAAACAGATTTGCGAGAGCATAGTTGCCGATTGCACAGACATCGCTGGCAGCGGCAGGGCGCAGACATCACAAGATGCAAATGATGAGACATGAAGGTTGGGAGATGGAAATGGCGAGACACAAAGGTTATGCAAATCACAAGCTCCTAAAAAAAGCCATCGGAGAGCTCCTAAACAAGCATTTGCAACGTTGGTGAGCTCTTAAAGCTTGGGATTTCAGAATTAAGGATTTGGAAGAGGAAAAGGCAAGGAAACCAGGGACGACAAAGTGACGAAGGGTTATGAAGATGAAGAAGTCAAGAGACGAAGGCTGAAGATATCGAAGTCTAGAGCCGAAGGTGAAGAAGGAAATGACGTTAAGAAGAAATTTAACAATACCCAAAAAGGAAACGACACATGGATGAAGGTGGAAAACAAACATTTCCAACGGTTTGACAAAGAAACCTCTGAAAATATATTTAAAAAATTAAATAAATTATATTTAAGTGTCATTTTTCTTTAAAATCATCGAAAAATCACGATAAAAAAAAGTTAGTGCGGTTTTGTATGAAACCGCATATAATTAGGAGAGGTTTTTAAAATCCCGGAAAACAAACCCTTACTATATTGCTATATTTTTGTAGTGATATACCTGGACTTTACTCATTGCTTTAATCAATTAAGTAAAATAGCTAATTGATTAACATTGTTTCTAAACTTTAATCGATATGAAAAATAATCTAATCGATTAAAATGGTCTGAAACACACTTGACAAATTGCTCTTTGTTTTAATCGATTAAGGAAAACATCTAATCCATTAAAATAGTGTGTAAATTTTAATCGATTAAGTAAATAACATAATCGATTAAAATTATCGATTTTGTGCCTTTGCTATATATATGTGTTTCAATTCTTTTCCAGGCAGGAAAAACATTCTGAGAGTTATCAAATTGTGAAGCAAGAACGTTGTCTTGCTTGGTCTTGAAGCATTCTTGGAGGCACCAACAATTGATTAAGGAAATTCATGGGTTCTAAACCAAGAGTGAGAGAAAGATCAAACAAGGATCTGTATTTGTTTTCTTTGTAATACCTGCACTTGTGGTGCATCGGGTTCTATCTTTAATGAATTCTTTGTGTATTGGTTTAGCCTTAGCTATGTAGGCAAGACTCCTAAAGGGAGTGTGTGTAGCCTCATATTTAGGTTTGTATTACATTGAGTGGATCTTGAATTCTATAAATCTTGACATTTAGTATTAATGAATTTCCTTCCAACTCAAGTTATTGGAAGAAGACTAAATGTAAACTCTTGAAAAGTTGAACCAATATAAATCCTGTGTGTTGGAACAACCGGTATCGCGCAACGGAAAGAGTTTTTAGAGCGAAAAAGCGTTTTACGATCAATAACCAAGATAAAGTGGTTATTTTTAAGATCTTGATTTTCTTTTAAGACTTTTAACAAACAATTAGTGAATAAAGAAAGTAGAGTAAGAGAAAATTGTTGATGGATCGGCAAGTGTACTGAATCGCATAAGTAATATAAAATGGTAAGGCCAAGTATCGTGTTCCAATAGACTCTCAAAACTAGACCGTCGTGTGATACCTTGATTAATTAAGACTTAAAGAAAATGAGATCATTGGTTTCAAATGCAAAAACAAAAAATTAAATATGAATGCAAGTTGATCGATAGCAGAGTAGCACAATGATGAACGAATGTTGTTTAATATGAGATGAGTATGTTGTTGGGGTTAGATTTCGCCAAGTTCCCTCTCATGTATGTAAGAATTCTTCTTTATGCATTAATGTTAACGTCACTCACTAAATCACTTAAACCTGATCCCTCGGCGAAATAAGTTTGTCCGTAATGACTAGTTCATGCAATTCCTAGCATTCCCAGTAATTAAATGTGAAGATCAAGAGCTTTAAGACGACCAATACTCATACCCTCATCCTTGAGAAATATTACTCTTGGGAGTAATTCAATAAGAACCTGAATTGTAAGGAACCTCTCGGCACTCATGCAATTCATAAATCATGCTATGAATGAGTTAAACAAAGCAAGTGTTGTAACAGAGGAATTACTCTAACAATTAATGAAAAAACATATATTATTAAGAATCAATTCAAATACATGAGAGTTCACAAGGTTACATCATCCCCCAACAACAAATAGAGTTTAATTCACCATATACATGGTGAAACTAGATGAATAATGGAGAAGAATGAGATAGAAAAAGCCTAAAAATAGATAATGGAAGCTCACGCATCCAAATCTGCCTCCAGAGGGTGAAAGAGTGTGCTGTTGTGCTCCTCGTGCCAAA